TTATCTCAGCGAGCTCAGACCAGAGCCCCGCTTTTGCTTTGTACCCTTCTAGCCACACCAATTTTTAACCAATCAAAAGCGCGCACACAAAAGCAGGATCTCTGGTCTGAGGCCCAGTGGTGGTTTTTTCCCTTCAAGGCCACACGCTCAAAACGTTATTTCGCAAACGTTTACATTTATTTCTTTCGGGACTTATTCAAAACACCTTTATCGTTCAATTACGTTATTCTATATTTAACACGATTTTCTAATAATCAATACGACCGCTGGTTGTTATTTTATAACATAATCATGGATTTTACCTCTTCGTCGGCAGCCCCTCCATCATCCCCTCCGCTACCCCCTCAATCCACTCAACAACATACTTCACAGTCACCTTTACCTGACCCTACATCGGAGCTATCCGACATTCCTACTATTACACCTACCGTATCTGCTTTTGATGAAAACGATACGGATGAAGACGACACCGATCCAATTCCCCTAAACGAGAGGCCCTCCCCAGACCAAGTTGTGGACGAGACGATACAGTTTTGGCATAATAAATGGCGAACTCGTGCCTATAATATTGAGCGCTTCCTAGAAGGCTGTATTCTATCACGGTCAGGGTCAAGAACTCGCGCAGTAAATAACGTATTGAAGAAGCCCTCAATACAGAAGCGTTTAGAGGAACTTGGTATTAGGATACAGTTCAAAGATGACGCGGATCGAGAGATCGCAGACATATCTGCCTTCCGGGATGAACTTTCTGCCTTGTTATCCCAAGATTCTTTCAGTAAATTCGACCCTGAAGCGTTCAAAGCACCCGACGAAGGGCCTTGTGCCATCAAAGACGTCTGCAATACAGAGTGGATTGAAAACTCTTTCCGGCAAGCTGGGTCCCAAATACTCGCTAAATCTCCTCGAATTGCTGCATTTCTATCGGCGATTCTTGCAAACCAACGGGCTGACTGGAAGTCTTATAATTCCGGCAAAGCCAACGCTTCTTTTCCGGTTGCTAGGGCTTATTTAATTATGGCATTGATATTGAATAGCCAAGCACCGTACCGGTCTAATTTCCTACCTCATGCGATTGGTATATACCTTCATAGCAGTGGGGTTCAGCGTCGAGTAATAGAAACACTTGCTCGGTTCGGTATAAGTTCTGGTTATAAAGCAGTTACGAAGCAGTTGAAACGAATGGCTGAGCAATCTCGGGTACGTTCTGGTAACTTGGATTCTCATAATACAGACTTGTGTTTAATAAAGGAAACAGCTTAATATTAAACGAGTTGCTCATGATCCAAGTGCCGTATTTGTGTACGACAACTTCAACTTCAAAGACAAGATCAGAGATCTTAGTTTAGGTCGTAAAAGCGTTATGAGAAACCTGACTAACTGCCTCATTGTTGCCAGCCCTGATGTACACGGTCCTTTTCTTCAGTCACAATGGCATGCTACAATCCCTTTCAATCGAAAGTGGCTTGCATCTTACATCATGCCACCACCAGAATGCGAACCTGAGGCTATAAAATATCTCATGGTTGATTCGGTTCGATCGGTTTTGAACCTATCTTCTCTTGAAAAGGTCGCCCCCTTTCCTGAGCTCGCTAGACCTCAACATAATGTCAGTTATGTCTTACAAACACCTGCTATTCATGAAAACGAAGGGGAAATAGCGGGTGTATATCGAGTTCATGATACCTTGTTTCATAAAATACTCGAATACAAGGAATACGAAGACCGACTGACAATAATTCACGGAGACCAGAAAACCACATCTTTTATTCGAGCTATCGTGGCTGCTCAGCTTGAAGCCAGAAATGTTTATGACCGAAAGCAATGGATACTTCCTGTGCCAGCATTTTTTCATATCGTTCTTAACTTTATCCACTTGATTTTCCGTACATTCTGGGATCCATTGATCGAAAGAGACGTACAGTTTTTTGGCCGTGGCCAGCATATTAAAAAGGACCACGTTTTATATCATCATGGCCTTCCGTTATTGAGAGACGCCTTCAATTCTCGTATCCTCGCTTTCTTAATACAGAATCTTGTTGACACTGGCGTCTTACATGATGATCAAATCCGTCCTGGTTCTATACGGGAGGCCTTGGCGGGTATTGACCCCGCACTGATCGAGCAGAGGCTATCGGTGATTCAAGCTCAGGTGTTTGGTTCCCAGGCCTGGAAAGGCCAGTATACCGAAGAGAAAAGCGACCCTATCGATGTTGAATTTCGAAGTCTCTGCCGATATATGATAGTTATTAGCTATTTGTTAATGATGGTAACCGCAGTGCAGCTTGGCGACTACGGCGTATTAAGGCAGATCATCCCCCAGTTACCCCTCTTTTTTTTCGGTGCAAAGTCAAATAACTACGGACCGGAGATGTTATATTTTGCTTGGCTCCTTCACACAGACGTCACGGAACCAGAATTAGCTACGGGGATCCTTCGATCAGGACTTGTTCGGTGTACCACTGCCGGGAGTGGGTGGAAAGCTATCGACCTAGCCTTGGAGCACATCAATGGTGCTTTTGCCATTGATATCAAGAACAACAAGAACTCTACTCGCAATGTTTCCATCATGTTCGATCACTTGTCCGTAATAGGGCCATATACTGCTTCTATTCGCGGCACCTTAGAACGCAGTCTTAATACCACCCAAAAAGGTCGACATACCACACCATCAACTAACCGTGATGTGATGGAATACGCCTGTAAAATATATGTCGATGGTGATACTAAGAGGCGTTTAGATGGGTATAGTATATCCCACTCTCCATATGATGCACCAGATATCTTGTATGAAGGTTTAAAACATCTTGCAAATACGAAAATCGACGAGTTTAACATGAAAGTGGTCCGGCCTATTCGTGCGTCGACTCAACAAAATATACCTGCATTACGTACAGAAGACGGCTTCGTTGAAAGTAATGAAGGCCGGCGTTTATACGGATCCGATCAAGAAGAGGATAGCGACAGTGACGAATGACGATAGCAATACAATTAATTCATACATTACGCAATTCCCGCAGTGTAAAACAGTGATCGCAGGGTTAGCAATAGCTTCAATACTAAAACCGTTAGCCTACTAATAATGTATAGTTATATAATCATACTAACCTCCAAAAAAAGAAAAATGCGGCATCATAGTGCTGCCGGTGCTATCACAATTGTCACAGCAGTAATCTGATTGGATATTTTCTGTCACATATTTGATGTGATTTTTAAACTGTCTTAGCCCTACTAGAATTCACACGATTTCGCACTCTTACCTAGCTGCTGCCTAGGTAAGTGTGATATCATTTGAAAGTGCATATTCACTTATATATAAGTGGTGTTTCGTCTCTTCGATCATGTTTCTACTTTTCTTCTTCTTTATTATTATTTTTTCCCTCATCTAAAGCCATGTCTCACACGTTCGATCCCAACTTTTTCGTACCCTATTACCCAAGTAGTCAAGAAGGGGGCCAGCAGCCCCATCTCCCCCCCCCTTCCCACTCCTCTCCTCCTCCTCCTCCTCCTCCTCCTCCAGGTAGGGACGAGGAAGGCGGAGATGACTCCTCTTCCCTTTCCGCGCCCCCATTTATCGAAGAGGGCGTTAACTGGCCCCCCTGCGTCCCCTGTGCGTTTGTTCTCTCGAATGGGGATTCTGATGATCACCGGTGTCGCAGGCAGGCAAGTGCGAGGGCCAAGAGGTGCCAACACTGTCGCGATGCCAAGTTTATCTGCGATTCAATCGAGGAGACTTGCGACCCAGCTGCTCTGCCTCTGGCAGAGCAGCTGGGTCCCGCGTTGCATCGATTCATCACAGACCCTACCGACGAGGTAATATTTTATCTTGTCGTGTCTTCTTTTTGCTTGATTTAATACCTCGCTAGAATCAATACGCGTATGAGGAGGTAGCTGGTCAATTGCGAGACTTCCTGCCTGCGAAGCCCCGTCGGCGAGCAACGTCAGCACCGGCACCGGCACCGGCACCGGCGGCGATTTCAGAAGAGACCGCCGCCGCCCTCGTCGAGCATTTGCGGTCGATTGCCCACTCCCTTGTAAGTCATACTACCCTAATTATTATTATATATAGTAACGTTTATTGGACTTGTAGGAACGGTTATCTAATACTGGTATATCTGTTCGGATAGTCAGCGATAACGGTTCGGATGAAGAGGGTGGGCATATGGAAGAAGATTAGGAGGGATTAAGGGGTAAGAAATGAGATGGGAGTATCTTTTTGGGGTAGTAGGCTTTATACGGATAGTGGTGTATCATACGCATGTTTTTATATAGGCATTTTGTAATGATATCGTTGTTTCTTGAACAATCGAAGCATATTCTAACGATTTTATACGTGACCTCATTCTGGTCTTCGTTGTACAGTTTCGACGTCAAAATGGAATACTATAAATAGATCCTAGTAAGCAAGATCAAATTTTACCAATAAGAAGCTTGCTTGCCCCATTAATGTCAAACATTCACCAATAGCAAGTCCCGATAACCCCACATCTCCACTATTACTAAACGCGATTTTCTCAACGTCGCGTCGCGTCAATACGCTGTAGTTTCGATAGATCGAATTAAGCTCGCTTTCTTCTTGGTAGATCTGGACTAAGCGGCTCTCTGCTGCGTTTTGGTGCCTTGAACACAGCTTGCGTATATGGCGTGCTTGATTCACCTGCGACGGCGAAAGTAGGTATGCGGTTTGATGGCGTCGCGCTTAGATTCGACAAAGAAGGTGTATTGCGAAGAACTGGTGTCCCTTGTTGAGATACAGAAGATCCAACGCGACTTAAAGGCGTTCTAAGCATATTGGGCGTTGAGGGTTGTCTTTGCGTTGCTTGTCTTCCTGCTGTTTCTCCAGGCGTTGACGCGGGCGTATCATTTTTATTATCCCTCTTGCGTTTCTGAGCGTCGAGATTTTCTCTGTACTTAACCAGGGCATTCTGATAAATATCGCCAACTTCAGCATGCAGCAAGCCCCCGAACTCCTCCCGTCCGTCCCAGCCACTCTGGATTAGGATATCTTCGATGGAGTGTTTGAGGTTGCCTAGATTAGCATCTCTATCGAAAACACCAGCTATTTTCCATTGAATCTTATTCGGCATAAATATCTCCCCAGGTATTTTCATCCGGCAGCCCAGCCCGGCATATAACTGTTCCGCTTGTTCGTCACAAAATGCTTGAAGTTCCTGCCATGCAAACCACTGCATGGATCCTTTCCTGGGGGCGAGTTCACTGGGTGGCTTAGGGGGGGGTCTAGGAAGCCGACCGAGTCTATGAAGACACCCATTACAGCATACCGTCGGGTGGACCTCCATTTTACCCTCCACGTTATCCCCTGTTGGCTCTTGCAAGAACTCCAGAGCATATTTCCTGAAGCAAGTGGCATTGACAAACCTATATATGTCAGGATAAGCAGCATTCAGATTTTCCCTGGATTTGAGCTCGGACTTTGTCCACTTAACAGGCGTAATCATACCGAACTGCCCGAGCTCCGGATCTACCACAGATGTGGCCACGCCGTCGACAGTTTGAGATGTCATAGAATCGAAATCCATCGGAAAGAACCTCGCACGGGTATAGGTCGAGCTATCAGATCCGCTATCGTCGACTCTTGTCATATGCTGCAGATTGCTTGGTTTATGCTTCGGCGGTCTCCCTCTGCGCTTTGGTTTCACAGGTTCTGCTACATCGCCTCCTAAAATAGTAAAATACCAATAAGGAGGGAAAAAGTATGCTGTGCCTTGGGTTTTTCCATCTCGAACAGCTCGACCGAACCTTTGTAATAAGTCTGCAAGATTGCCAGAAGCAAGAGGCCCAAATTGCACAACTCGCTTCACATTACGGATATCCATACCCATCCCAAGGGCCACAGTAGCAAGCATGATTCGACAAGGAGAATTCTCTTCTGAAAAGTCTTCGTATATTCGCTGTTGGTCTTCGGGTCGAGTATCCGCGTCATATCGTTGGATAACGCGTTCAGCCTCGCCAGAGGGCAGACCAAGCTTATTAGCCTCCGAAAGTAAATAATGACGAGCGGCGATAAGCTTTTTCTTACTGTCTATAAAGACAATGGTCTTGTCAATGGCTTCGGGGGCGTCGCGTCTCATCCCACTAATCAGAAAGAACAACCGTCGGTAATCTTTAGCCAGACAACCCTTATCTAATGGCTGTATGACAATGGAGATATTATGTCGGTCACTAGTAGCTCTGACAAAATACAATTCACCATTGCCCGTACCTTTTCGGCGGAAGCCAGCGCTAGACAACACGAAATCTTCTGCCTCCTTACTTAACGTCGCGGTGCACCCAAACCAAGGCACTCTCCTGGGAATGAGAGCTCTCATTTGGTGAATATTTGGGTATGCAGTTCGGAAATCTTTCCACTGATGTACCATATGGAGCTCATCAATAGCCACGAATGCTATTTTCTGATTAAACTCGGCATTGCGAAGCAAATCAAAGAATTGTTTCTGGGTTGCCTGTTCTGGTCCGAGAATAACATGGGTAAATCGCCCCTGAATCAAGCCCTTCCACATATCATCATCCTATTAAACAGTAAGTAATTATCTATATATAAATAATATTTACTAACCTTAACAGTTTCATCAATTATCAGAAGTGGACGCGCCCCTGGTATTCGAGCAATAGTATTGAACTGATCTTGTCCTAGTCGCTTTAACGGACATATCTGTACGGTTACCTTGTCGTGCATAATAACGGATACAGTCTGTAGGACAATACTCTTCCCATATCCGGTCCAAGCAACAAGAATAGTATCGCCATGACGGAACACGACGCGTTGGATCGACTGCACTTGGCCGGCCCTGGGTTGAAGCCTAGGTATGCCTTCGATACGGCTACCGTTTAACAGGGCACTAGCTACGGCATGTACGAACCGATATTCCAAATCATATGCGTGTTCTTCGTTTCTTTTAGGCCGTATGTGTTCGAAGAGGTATCGGATACAGTCGTGAGATGGAACCTCTGATACCGTCTGGCTAGTTAGACCATCTAACTTTTCAAGGTCGGCAATCAAACGAAAAAGGTCCTCGGACGTAGGTCTAGCAGGTAATATGCTAGTTCTCAAATTTGGGATCGATCGGTGCATTGGTTGTGGTGTTATCGCTTTCGAGCAAACGGCTATTAGGTGTGTGGTCTTGAATTTTCGACCCTCGAAGGCTGGGATATCTTTGGGTTACGTTTAAACGGTATTTTAAGTAGCAAGAAAGCTTCAGGTTGCCTATCACTAGCCCCGAGATATATTTTCTAAGGCATATTATACGTGGTTGTGAAATAATGTATATTTGAATTTTGAGAATAGCTTCAGTTTGTGGTCTTGACCGGGGTTTTTGCACCACTTGGCCTCAGACTAGAGTTTGAGGAAAGCCACGCCCTGCCCCACAGATACATTGGCACGGGCCATGCGGGCCACGCGCAGCGTGGCTAGGTGTGGCTAATTCCTCAAACTCTAGTCTGAGCTAGCTGAGATAA